CTAATAAACTTAATAAATCTTGCATTTATGGGTGATGCAATTTATCTTTATTTGAAGACAAATTTATTGTTTAAGCATGATTACATTTAGTCTTGTTCTTACAACATTATCTCCCTCATTATCTTTTGATTTAAACCCTGCAGTTCTCCAAGCATCCATGTTAATCCTTCTTTCATAGGAAAATACGGCCAATGTTAAATAACAATAAAACATTTATTCGGGATACTAAATCTTGATTACTATTGTGCCAGTATGTAATTCTAGCAGGTTAAGTTGTTTATTGAAGAAAAAGAACCCAATGTGGCCACTGACCACATTGCAGCATGAGCCATGACACATTATTTTAAAAAGGTTGACGCCCCACCTATTGTCCAAAGGAGTGAATGTTTCATTAGAACATCCTTATAGGTAGAAAAGCCAAAATGTTGTAAAAATATTTAATTTACAAGACTTTGTCAATTCACTTAGTTTACATGGTAAGCAATTTCCAAATCATTCTCTCTGGAGATTCAGAATGATCAGGCAAATGTAGAAACAAAGGAATCGTAGTCTAACAGAATAATTTCTTGATAAAATTATTCTTATAAAGTTCATTATGTTGACAAAGTTATCACAAACCATCATCATTATCATTACTTTTTACTGAAGACATGAACAACTAGATTGGAGAAATTGAACAAGTTCAATTCAAGACTCCATATTTAGATTGTTTATCTCAAAACCATTCTGAGATCTGATATTAATGAAAGGGATGAGATTGTTACAATTTGGTGGCAGCGTTGGGATTTTTTTGAGATTTCAAAAGCCCATAACTTCTAAACCGGAAGTCGGATCTCAATTTTGTTTTCAGATTCGGAATCCTGAGAATTTTTTTTATTAAAACCTTAATTTGAACTTTGATATTAATGAGAAATAAAAAAATATCGGCCTGATTGACATGACATGGGGATATCATCAAATCTTTTTTTCAAAATTTCAAAAGGTCAGAACTCCTGAACCTGAAGTCGGATCACAATTTCGTTTTCAGATTTGAAATCTTGAGGAAATTTCCTATTTAATTAATACCAATTGATAGATTTGGAACATTTTAAAATTCGACTTTTTTTTAAAGTCAAATTTCTCAAAATTGATAATTTTTTTATCAAGACATATATATAGAAAAATGTTTGAAACACTTAGAGAAACCTAGAAAAATATTTATAGCAAGAAATATGGAAAGATAAAAAAGAAAATTGAAAATTTGTGAAATTGGAAAAATTGACCTAAATTTAGACCTTTGACCTAAATAAAAATTTGACCTAATTTCCCAGAAACTACGTCACATAGCCTAACTGACCATGTAATTAGATTTACTCCAAGTCTTCTAGTTACTGAGAAAACGTGCTAATAAGAATAAGAATAACTAGACATGTAAATTGAACAAGTTCAATTTAAGACTCCAGATTTCAAACTTTTTTTAAGCTGAGTCATCCAAAATACTGTAAGCTGACCCATTCAGAATAAGCTGAGTCATCTAGAATATAGACATTTAGACAACTCTTAAGTAGGTTATCTTTGTCTCCATTGGCTTAACATGGGGATATCATAATATCGACTTTTCGAGACTTCAAACAGCTATAACTATCTCACCAGAATTTGGGTCGAAATTTGGTTTGCAGATTCGAATTTCTGAGAAAATTCTACGTTTGTGTCATAACTCATACATTAAATTTTGAGAACTTTTTGTGTTGACCTACTTTCCGGACGCCATTCCTCAAAATCGGTAAGAGTAATCAAAAAAGACAGTTGTTATAAAGGAATAACGACGAATAGTGACAAAGATAATTGACATAACATGGGATATCAAAATACCAATTTTTTAATTTTTCAAAACGCCATTTCTTCCAAACCGGTTGTCGGATTGAAATTTGATTTGCAGATTCGGATTCCTGAGAAAATTCTACCCTTAATTCATAACTCATACGTTAAATTTGGAGAAACTTTCATGTTGACCTACTTTTCGGACACTATATCTCAAAAGTGGGTTAAAATACTTTCTGACGGCAAAAGGCTAACACTATTAGCACACTCTTTGCTACCTGTATACAAAATTTTGAAGCAAATAATTAAAGTGTAGTGTCAGAATCGCAAAAATAAGTTAAAACTATAAATTTGAACTAGATTTTGACCTAGGCATTTTGGTGTCCAAATTGTGAAGCTAGCTAGCTTTTGAGGTCCCTTTCTTTTATAGGCTTTCATTATGTAAAGCTGTACTCAGTCTATATCTCGTATTTTACACTTCAAAAAAATCTTTTTTCCCATTGCCATAACATGGGGCACCAAATTTAGCGATTTTTGAGCTTTCAAAACGACATAACTTCCGAACCGGAAGTCGGATTGAAATTTGAATTGCAGATTTGGATTCCTGAGAAAATTCTACCCTTAATTCATAACTCATACGTTAAATTTGGAGAACTTTTTTGTTTGACCTACTTTTCGGACACCTCAAAAGTGGGTCAAAATACTTTCTGACGGCAAAAGGCTAACACTATTAGCACACTCTTGGCTACATGTATACAAAATTTCCAAGAATATAATTAATCTGTAGTGTCAGAATCGCAAAAATAAGGAAAAACCTTGAATTTGACCTAGATTTTGACCTAGGCATTTTGGTGTCCAAACATTGAAGCTAGATGGCTTTTGAGGTCCCATTCTTTTAAAAGCTTTCATTACATTTAGCTGAACTCGGTCTTTATTTCGTATTTTTCACTTCAAAAAAATCTTTTTTCCCATTGACTTAACATGGGCCTAAAATTTAGCGATTTTTGAGCTTTCAAAACGCCATAACTTCCGCACCGGAAGTCCGATCTGAATTTGGTTTTCAGATTTGGAATCCTGAGAAAATTTCCTATAAGAATAATATCCTAGACATTTGATTCGGAGAACTTTTTTTTGGACCTCGATTTTGGACACTGATATCTCGAAATTGGTTCGAGATATCAAAAATCTAAATCGTTTGGCGTTTTTCTACTTTTTTATGAGGAACACAATGAAAAAAACCCGGATCAAAAATATTGAAGGACGACCGAGATAATGGGAAAAAGTGACAAAGTACTGGATTTGACCTAGTTCTTGACCTTTGACCTAGATAAAAATTTGACCCAATTTCCCAGAAAGCCAGATACATTCCCTAGTCAACCATGTAGGTTGGATTAAGTAAGATGTTATAGTTGGAGAGAAAATCTGTTAGGAGGAAGAAAGAAAGAAAGAAAGAAAAAGAATAATAAGAAAACAGGCAAAAACAATAGACTCCAGATTTCATCTGGAGTCTGATAAGAATACAGGCAAAAGCAATAGACTCCAGATTTTCAATCTGGAGTCTAATAATAAATAAAACATAAAACCAGAAACCTGAATTAATATTAATTATATACAAAATATACTAATGTTAATGAAAGGAATGCAGTAATATAATTTCTACCTAAGCCTTCCCAGCATTGTATCATATTACAGTATGTAATAATAATTTACAAAAGAAAAACATTAAAGGGCCAATAGCTATAATCCTCATCCGTATTAAACCCTTTTTCTGTAACTTTTCAGTTAAGAAAACAGTGAATTTAATATAGTTCTTTAAGTACTTTATTCAATCTGGAACTTGTCACACTCTACAGGTAAGTCATTTTTACAAACACTGGTGTTTTCAGAAAAGATGGCTTAAGTCGATGTTTAGTGATGTATTCTAGTTATGTAAGTTATATATCATAAGAATGAATGTATATTACTTGAATGTACCCTGTAAACAATATCAAATCTGTACAAATGTACATATCAATATCATTGGATTAGGGATATGTCGAATTTCCACATGTTGTGCAAGTATAATGGTAACAGTAAGATCTTTAATCCATGGGCAGTGGTTCTTGCAAAAGTTTATTCATTTTCAAGATGGCGGGCCTTGTTTTGCCAAAGCAAAGATATTCTTTTCAAAGCTATTTTCAACTATGAGTTCAAGGGGGGCCCCACTGGAGAATCACTGATATGTAAATGTATTTCTGTTTTATTTTGCTTCATTTTATCTTTTATTTTTCATTCTATCACTATTTACCATAACATATGATGTCACATATATTACACATACGTTTACTAGTTCAAATATTTTGTGTCTAAGATCTCAAATCATATAAAGAATGAGTTAATAATACTTCGAATTAACAAACAAGTCATCAAAAATGCATTCTGTACCCAGATCCCATGAATTCCTCATAGTATTGGTATATATCCTGTGGAATACCTTATAAGGGAATGTTATGTATCACATGGTTGAGAGTACAATATTGTAGTAGAAACCCCAATAATTGCTAACTTGTTTGTTAAAATTTCATTACGTATTCAGACTATAAATCAAAATTTCCTAATATGCCAACAGAACATAAGGTTTCTCTGATTACAAAAGAGAGGCTGTCAGAGTTAAAAATAAAACAGAAATATTAAGATAAAACACTAACTTTAGAACTAGGATGAAATACTGCTATTTCTGATGTTGTACACTTCATGTATATATAAAATGATAAATATCTATTTAAACCTTTCTTTATTTGAAACGCTATATATTCCCTTAACAGTAATTTAGATGATACACCTTGTACAAGGGTACTTTAATGGCTGTGCCATGTTGGCATTAATAGCCGTTGTATATATACATGATAATATTATAATAGTGAAGGTTTCTGGCATTAATAGCAGTTATATATATATACATGATAATATAATAATAGTGAAGGTTTCTGGGTCTATATAATGGTAGATCAAATTAAATATAATATTTTTGCCATTCCCTATATCTAAATGACCTTCAACTTTTTGATTTTATTAATGATTGTTAATGCTGTATTTATTAATTTAAAAAATCAATTTTTTCTGTAGCTAACATAAAACTTAATTTGATCTCAGCTCAGATATATCTGTATATACAACTTGTGCATATATAATTTATGAAATAAACATTTTGTATTTTCAGAATAAAATAGAGAAGCTGCAACTCATCGGTTTGAAGAAGCACTGATCATACGGCATATGGCATTATTTCTGCTCTATACACATTTAATCAGTGTTTTGGATGTGAATCGGATGTAAGAAAAAATACCCAAAATAATAAATCATATAAGGGAGACTCTCCATTCTGCATGAGAGACAGAAAATTGGATATGAAAACATAATATTACTAGATTAGATCACGAATCTTAAACCTTGTCCATCTATCATTTTATCTATAGTGGATACCATTCTAATCAATCATCAGAATATAAAGAGCGAGGACCAATAGAATAAGCAGGATTTTACTGTCATTTTGAAAGAAACAATTCTCTCAGAGGAAATCAAACGTGAAAGAGTATTATCGAATCACCAAGAGCATTTTAATAAAATAATTCAGCTTTTTCAAAATCATATTAATAAGCCAGACAATTTATCAACACAAATTATGTAAGTATTGGAATTACAATTTGGACCAAATAGAAAGGAAATAATACTGAACGGAAATTAGAGATACTTAAAGAAAACACTGCAGCTGTAAGCAAATAAAGGACTGAAATATCAAATAATTCATAAAATAATATTCATTATCTCTTTATTGATAAAATAAACTTTCTGATTAAATCAGAGAATGGCCAAATGAAATAAAGGGAATTAAAACATCTGACTATTGTATGTATAAACAGACGTCATAAGGATTCTATTACAAAAAATAAGTAGGAATTTTACTTGGATTACATATTTCAATCTCTGCTGAAAGTAAGTTGTAATAAATAGAACAACATAATGCAAGCACTGAACAAATTCATCACGAACTAGCATTAATTGTAGTATAGCAGGGAAGTACAATTCTTTGAAATTCAAATAACCACTAACATATTAGGAAGATTAATCGGTTAAGCGCCATTTGAAATGAATCTATCATTCTGTCATAGAAATATGATCTGACATTACACCATTGCCATTACTTAATAGTTTATAATGATTGGGTGTGTTTTGATACTGAAATAACAAGAATCAGGACTGAAGAATCAATCTCTTACCTGTGGCAGAAACACTGAAGTAGAGCTTGAAGAATATTTGCACATACTAAACATTAATTACCAGAAAATATCAAAGTCAATTACTGACAACTTTACAAGTTGTGTATATCAATATAAAAATGGCAGAGACTGTGAATTACAATGTGTCAGATGGAAACATGTCTGTATTCAATGCGACAAATAACACAGCTACTGAAGAACAACCAGATCAGACCTTTGACATTGTAGTGAATATTGGATTTCTATTTGTTGTATGTCTGTTTGGATTGTTTGGTAACACTGTTGCATTTATAGTGCTTTGGCAAGACAGAAGTCGGTCGCCAATGTTCCACTTATTACGCAGTCTCACTGTATCAGATTCTGTATTTCTGGGCTGTGTTTTCTGCACAGAGGTTCTCACTCGTCTACTCTATATGTGTGAGCCACCACCACGCGCAAACTATAACAACCTGGAAATCGTAAACTCACTGGTGATATGGCCAATGGGTATGATGTCACAATTGAGCACTATATGGCTAACGGTTGCTATATCAATGGAGCGTACAATTGCAGTGTGTTATCCTCTGAAAGCCTATTCTTTATCGAGTTTATCCAAGGCAAGGCTTGCGTCATCTCTCATTGTCATTGGATCTATCCTTTACAACATCCCGCGTTGTTTCGAATATGAAACATTTCGGGAAGATCACTTCATACCCAAAACAAAGTTTGGATCAAATATAGTATACAGGTACTTCTATTCAGCAGCTCTATACTTCGTTGTTTTCTTCTGCCTGCCCCTGATTCTACTGATTATCACCAACACAAAGGTCATCGTCGCCTTCAAGCGCATGCAGAAACAGCAGAAAGAAATGAACGTCATCCAAAAACGAGAAAATCGCCTCACTATGGTAGCACTCTCAGTTGTATGTGTGTTCTTTGCTTGCGGCATGCCAGCTCTGATTGTTAACTTCATCGACTCTACATTTGATGAGCACTCAGTTGTTCCTGATTGGTGGGTAATTTTCCTATCGATTGCAAACTTTCTAGTCGCAGTCAACGCAGCTATAGATTTCGTACTTTATTGTTTCCTCGGGAAAAAATTCAGAAAAATGTTACTTAAATTATTCCATTGCGACCGACCGAAAATTCTTGAAGAATCTGGATTTACGACGGAAATGTCAGAATGCTGACTAGGAGTAGGGATGTGGTTCTGCCCAAACAGGCATCGAGCCCAGGCAAGTCGAAACAGTTATAAAAAATATGACTATGATAAAGATAAAAACATCAAGTATTCTGAGGTTATACAAGCAAGGGTTTCTTCAGTTTAAATACCAATTTTGCCAAAGTTTTCAATTCAATTTAGGTCAAAACTACCTTATTTTATTAAAAATACATACAAGTTACATGTAGAACAGCGTGAAAATGTCTGTATTTTTCAAGAAAATACATCAATACGTTTAGGGGTGGGGTGGCCGCAGGAACAGCTTTTTCAATTGTCTATGAATTGATTTATTTATTGGATGATGAGAATAGAATATAAAACCTATTTGACAAGTTTACTTACTAGTAATAAGATCTGAGTTAACTTGCTAAATTATTCAAAAATGTACCCTTATGTGTAATGCCACATATCAGCACAACATCATCAATCGTAAAATCCATCATAAAACTGGAGCTGCAAAACATGTTATCTTTTTTGCCTTAACTGATCCATGTATGAAACATTGGTAACAAAATCTTTGAAATATTCATCATGTGGTTATAGCTCTATTCTGATGTAAATATGTGATCAGAGCAATAAAGAGCTTTTCAATAACACTGAAGATCGAAGCATAAGAAACTACAAATCAGTAGACATTGTATATTTTTCTTGAATTATAATAGTATGTACATATATTATACATATATTAGTATATAGAGTATAATCTATTGAGCTGTTGTATTTAAATAAAACAAAATCTTGTTTCAGAGATATTGATAATTTGCAGGGAGAGTGCATTGTATTATACTGTATATAATAATAACTAAGCCTAGGTCCGGGCCCATAGCTCACCAAGATGACGACAGTGGCGTACCTTTTTAGAAACAATAAAAAATAAGTACAGTGATTTGTAAGTCAGGCCTATGTAATCAATGTATTTAAAGCAGATGACATATTGAGTTGTCTCTCTTTAGTTATGCATAGTTGTGTTGCTATTCTAAACTCCGTACAATCAACCTAGAGTGATGGCATTCTACTGAAGTCCATGGAGAAGTAAGTGTAGTGAAGCTCATAGAAATTGATGTTGATGCAATTTGAAAATCTATTCTATATAAATATTCAATTTTTTGTGGTATTAAACAAATCCTTTATAAAATTATATAACCATTAATTATCTTAACTTTACTGATTTCTTTAGCTACAATAATATTTACATGTATATTGTATATTTAATCTGAAACATAAGATCAAATCCTATGTTAAGGGCTGGTGTGAAAAAGTCACTCCACCCTGGTGGGAATTGAACCCACAACCTCCAGATTACGTGTACATTGTAGATGTATATGACAATGAAGACATCTAATGGTTTACAAGAAGTCCAAGGTTAAATGTAAGTGTCACATGTACTAAATAAAAATGTAATTTTAATGTATATTAACAAATTAAATGTTATATCTATGAACCATGTTTTTGATTTTTTATCAAGACAATAACAAAAACACTGTATCAGAATTATAAAACTCAATGGAACAAAGATATATTAAATTACCCTGTCTTGAGAACTTATGTTAAATTCAAAAATGTCTTTGAAAGAGAGAGTTATTTAAATATCCAAAATAAAAATTACAGGCAAGCAATTTGTAGATTTAGGCTTAGTTCCCACAAGTTACATATAGAACTTGGTCGTCATTTAAAGCCAAAGCCAAAACCTGTAGATGAACGTTTATGTAATATTTGTGGTATTTTAGAAGATGAACAACACTTCATCATGATTTGTAAGAAAAACACTACAGAAAGAAAAATTTTGTTTGACACCCTTACACGATTTAATTTTGTAGGCAGTCCTGACATTATTTTTAAAAAACTAATGTCTCACAAAAATTCTTATGTAATTTTACATTTAGCAAAGTTCATCTATCATTCACTCAAAAAATTGGATTAATGTGTCAACGATGCATCACACTGATATTTAAATTTCTGTCAAGTTATATTTGTATTCTACAATTATCTTGTATTCTGTATTTTACATTTGATGATGTAATTAGAATTGTATTTGACAACAACTTTATTTTTGTATTCAATAGTTAGTTTAGTCTTAGGTCAGTTTTGTAGATTGTAGTTTTTAGTGACTAATATGTCATTGTAATGACATCAGAGAGTCAATAAAAGATATATATATATAAAAGTAAAAAGTGATTTAAATGGCACAAGTGAGATAAAGTATATGAAACAGCACAACTATATGTAGATATATGATACATCATTTGCCTGTTTGTGTGTATAGATTGTATATTCAAATCAGGGTTTGGGTTGACATGTCAAATCTGTTATATAAATTAATCAAGAGATATTGAGATGCCTCACTTATAAGTAATGCCTAAAGTATTAGATCAAGATGTTCCAACAGATTTTATTTGAATCAATATGCTTACAACTTTTATGATTATCACAAAAAGTTGTTGCTAATATATGACATGAAATGTGATACCAAAAGTTTAAATTGTAGATTGCAGCAGTCTACTTTTCATTCTGTGCATTATTTAATTAGGGCCATCGATCAAACATCAACCAGGTGGGCAATATTGACCATCTTTCAGTTTTCTTAGTTTGATATATACAGTAAAACCTGTCTAGGTGGAATGCCTTTGGTACCTTTAAAAAGTGTTCTACTTGGGGGGGGGGGTGTTCCACTTATAAAGGTTCATTTAACACAAAGTCAGTTGGTCTTGGGACTGTGTTCTACTTGGGAGGTGTTCTACTTATAGAGGTTCATTTAATGTGAAGAAAGTCAGGCTTACGACTCTGAAAAGTAGTGTTCCACTTGGGAGGTGTTCCACTTAAAGAGGTTAATTTATCATGAAGTCAGTTGGGCTTGGGAAAAGTGTTCTACTTGGGAGGTGTTCCATTTAACACGAAGTCAGTTAGCCTTGGGACTCTACTAACAGTGCTCTACTTGGGAGGTGTTTAACATGAAGTCAGTTAATTAGTCTTGGGACTCTACTAACAGTGCTCTACTTGGGAGGTGTTTAACATGAAGTCAGTTAATTAGTCTTGGGACTCTACTAACAGTGCTCTACTTGGGAGGTGTTTAACATGAAGTCAGTTAATTAGTCTTGGGACTCTACTAACAGTGCTCTACTTGGGAGGTGTTTAACATGAAGTCAGTTAATTAGTCTTGGGACTCTACTAACAGTGCTCTACTTGGGAGGTGTTTAACATGAAGTCAGTTAATTAGTCTTGGGACTCTACTAATAGTGCTCTACTTGGGAGGTGTTTAACATGAAGTCAGTTAATCTTGGGACTCTACTAACAGTGCTCTACTTGGGAGGTGTTTAACATGAAGTCAGTTAATCTTGGGACTCTACTAACAGTGCTCTACTTGGGAGGTGTTTAACATGAAGTCAGTTAATCTTGGGACTCTACTAACAGTGCTCTACTTGGGAGGTGTTCCACTTCTATAGTGTTTCACTTTACATGTTTCACTGTACTTGTTCTTCCAGTGATCAATATTCTTTGTCAAGGTCAGCTGTCAAATACTGACCTTCATTAATGAAAGTAATTAAGAAACAAAGAAAACAGGAGGAAAATCAATATCACCCACCTTGGGATATTTGATGGACTGTCCTTGGGACTTAATGATTTTAATTAAAAACTTATGTAATAATTGTAAAAAGCAAAGTAATTACACACTCGAATAAGCTGATATAATTTTAAAAACTATTGGATGCTATTTAATGATTCCTCAATTTTCCCAGATGGTATATAAGTGTATTCAGATCAGGTTGTAAATGTGTAGTAATATAAAACAATCATAATTGAGTTGTGATATACTATTGGAAATACTTGTCCGTCCGATATATAAATCAGAAACAAGTAAATCTCTTTTTAAAATACAACTATTACAAATATTGGGGTAGGATATAGTCATGGAGTCAAGGTAATAAAACCCAGAAATAATAATATTTAATACGATATAATAATAATCTTCTACTGCCCCTTGTCTTTTTGCCCTTTAAAATGTTATTTATTGTATAAATGTATTAGCTGTTTTATTTAATACATTTATACACTAAATAACATCTGAGTCACATTTTTAATAGTTTTATTATTTCATTTATGTTCCCGATATTCTTCCCTTTTAATGATTTATTGAAACTTGCTATTTATTTAAAACAAATGTAAATATATAAAATACAAGATATAGATTGATAAGACCTTTCTAGAATTAGCCACAAGAAGTTAAGATAGGCTTCAACCTCTTCTGCACAGTTTTATGGTTCCTTTACACACTATTTCAGTAAATCTATTTACACCAATAATTTGAAAAATCGTTTTCCTAAATATTGTAGAAAATGATAGTGCTATCAATTGAATATCAAATGAGTACACACTGACATTTTCTGTGAATCAATTATTCTGTTCTGTCAACATTTATGGAGAGATAAATCATGCAATTTTCAGAAAAAATACAATTGGTTGCATTTCGCACTATCCTTGAATTTACAGCCACTGCATTTTACAGAATTATGATCCCCTTGGTGCATGTGATATACGTTTCTGTGAGTATTCTATTTATAAGTGCTAGCCTTTGTGATATAATTATTTAACCTTATATGATAATTTGTGTTAAAGTGGTCAATGGTCAACAAGATGTGTTCTTAAAATAAAAAAGGAATTTTCGAGGGTCAAAATTTGTGATTTTAGGAGTCAAATTCACCTGACTTCTGACCTGTACAAATACCTCTAAACTCAATATCCCCTATACTTGGCATCCATAAAATTGCTTCGAGCATCTCATAAACTTAGCCATGCATGTAAAATATTTTAGTATTTCACACCAATATATTCATAGCTTGTTTTTCCAAATCTCAGTATAAATATCATTATAGAATATAGAAATATGTGAAATATATCATAAACAAAATAGTTATAGATGTAGAAATGTAAAGAAGATAAGATTGTATATGATGAAAATAAATGTAATCTGTATTAATGAATATAAAAGTTATGTTTAATATCAGATGAAAGAACCATATGAACAAGACATGAATATATATAAACACAAGTGCCAAAAATAGGAAAGATCAGAAAGCATTACAAACACAGCAAGAATTACATGAAGCCTCATATTCCATGTTTTTTCATATTCCATCAATGTGCCTTCATGTATTTTCAATGAAATAACATATAACTTTTTTATAAAATTTTTATTTTGATAATCAATTTTACCTTTTATTGGTGAAGTTTCAGAATCTTCTGTTTGTGTTTATGGAAAATTGATATTTTGATTTACCTACCAAGCATAAGTACAAGGTTTGGTCTTATGAAATGTCCTATTTATAAATAAAACAAAATGTTTTGGACCAATACAAGGATTTATATTTGTTCATGCATCCCTCCAGTTACCCACCCAACCTCTCAAGATTTACAGATTGTACACTTTTCTACGCATTTTTTTATCTTCATGAAGACAATTTGAATAAATTGGAATATACCTAACTCCCCCAAAATAGACTGATCCAGTGGACTGACGTCTGGAGTCGCCATATTGTATTTATACGGGAAGTTTACATTGTTGGACTTTTGGTGACCTT